GAGACAGAGAAGACGCACGAGAGGAGAGAGAGGACAGGAGAGAGACAGAGAGAGAGCAGAGAGAGAAAGAGAGAAAAGAAGAGAGAGAAAGAGAGAGACAGAGACAGAAGGAAACATCAGAGAGAGAGCGAGAGAGAGAGAGGAGCGAGAGAGATGAGAGAGGAGAGAGAGAGAGGAGAGCGAAGATGGAAGAGAGAGAGAGAGAAAAGAGAGCGAGAGAGAGAAAGAGAGAGAGAGATGAGAGTGGGAATGAAAGATCAGTATTACAGCTGCACTACGTCACGTTAGTATGACAGCAGCATTCGACCCTCCGATCGTCTTCACGCTCCTGCACAGATCGGCCCTCGCTAATCCGGAAAGCTTAGCATGAGACCAAGAAGTTTCAATCAAGAGTTCGAGATCAGCGAAACCTCCATACCATTGAATTGAAGGCTATCCAGGGTGCATGATACTCCATTAGGAGTAGGAGTAGGATTACTGGTTAGGGTTATGCTATAGCGTTAAGAGCGGGGCGGGGGAGCGCGGAGTCATTAACGCGTGTATTGATTGCGAAAAGAGACGAAATTCGTGAAATGTAATTGGATGCGCGCATGTGCCCGCCTCCGCCTAGAGTTCGTGTGTGGTTCTCCTGGTCAACCGCGGGGGAGGAGGGGCGATGAACACTTGGCATGCGATCAGGTATATCGTTCCTTTGACGTGATCACGAAGTGAACGCCACGTCGTGGTTCCGTCGATCACTCGTCATTGGCACGTTCCGCTGCGAGCGTGTCGTGTTTGTCTGTAATTGGGTTGCTCTTGCTCACACTTTGAACTATTCATCGACGGTTGGCGTTCAGCTATGTTGCTGCAATACTTGTCCATATGTCCGCACTACTCGTCTGTGTAGATGCAATACTCGTCTAGACAATATGTTTGCAATTCTCGTATATGTGGCTTCAGTACTCGTCTATATGTGTGCAATTATCGTATGTGTGGCTGCAATACTCGTCTATATCATGTATGCACTACTCGTATATGTGGCTGCAGTACTTCTCTCTATAGCTGCAATATTCGGTTATATGTAGGTGGACTACTCGTATACATGTAGCTGCAATACTCGTATTATGTAACTTCAATATTTGTCTGTATGTACGCGATGCTCGCCTGTGTAGCTGCAATGGTCGTTTATGTGTGCCTTCACTACTCGTATATTTGCGGCTGCAAAATATGTCTTGCTCAATACTTGTCCATATGTGGTCGTACTACTCGCTTGTGTAGCTGCATGTGTAGCTGTAACAGAGTTACAGCACTGCACCGATCCTCGCGTGTATTGTCTGTGGCGTGGTAAAATGCCGGATCTATTCGCATAATTGATCAGTCGGAGCGGATTAAATCCACTCTGCCGATATAATTGAAGATATATATATATATACTTAAAGCATGCTTGCCTCGTGTTTCCACGCCTCAAAAATGATTGGAAGGGAATTGATTGAGAGAGCGCCAGCGATTTGACGTGTGACGTGGTCGGGCTGTGCGAAACCTCTGCCGATGTTTGTACTACAGTTTCAGCGAGTCACTGCGAGTTGTCACGTTCCCAATACGTGGGCTTCACGTTGGGGGATGGAAAAACGGATCCCACACCCATCATCAGTGTCGGTCGAACACATGTAGATGTACAGAAAAAATTCATTTTTAATTAAAAGTAAAATTTGATCTGCTGCAACACGTGCAGCGGATGTACGTAGTGTCATAAGTTTCCGTCGTATTCGCCGTAGATATTTATTTGCTCTCTGTTCCCCCCCCCGCTCTATTCGTGGCTTTCATTTTTACAACGTTTTTTTGGGGGGGGGTAGTCATTAGGTCAATTACTTTATCATCAATTATTGACGCAGGGATGGGTACATGAATTTTCCTGGAGCACTAAATTTCGCCACTCGATTTCACGTTTTCAATCAGCAATC